ACATTTTCCTTCATTTTAGATGAATACCACACTGTCTGATTCATCAAGAGAGTCGTCCTGTGGTGTAATTTGTCAGTCTAGTTCCATTTACATAGCTAGGCCAGGCTTTGTAGAAGTGGTAACAACCCAAACACTGCTGATGCCTCACAGAACTCACAGAACCAGAGAAACGAGGTTAGACATGGGACTGAAGATCTCAGGAACAAGGACAGCTAGGCCAGAATGTCTGAGGCTAGCTCTAAGAGACGTGATCCTAAATACATTAGATCAACGAAAGAAACGATGGGCACGGGTCTCTGAGAAGTTAATTTAAAGGAACTATCAACAGACACGTTTGTGAAAATTGGAGGGATTTCTAAGGGAACAACATGAGGGGCTAGTTTTCGGCCTCACTTTGAACATGCCCTATAAGGCCCTCAACGGTCTCAGCACCTGGCATTGAGCAAATCATGCTCATGTTGATCAGATGAGAAGTAGAAATAAGTATTGCTACTCCTTATTCTGAGTAAACTAGGTCAACAGTTTAAAAATCCAGGGCAGAACAATAGTTTTTATAACCATCATATTCAATAGAAAGGGTCATCTGGGATTGGGGAAAGAAAACCAAACCCGTGGGATGCTCTAGATACAACCATACGGTCATAGCAGCAGCAGTTTATTCGCTGCTTCATTCTTCAGTGGAATGGGCTATGAGGCCTCAGTGCCGAGTTACAAGGTGAATGATGAACGAGACTCAGAGCTTAGATGACCTTATAAATCCAGCAAGAAGGACAAGCCAGTGGCCAGCTTCTTACAAGACACTGTTGAATGCCATCCTAGAGGACGTTCCAGGCACTAACAGGAAACACAACAGGAGCAAGTAAACAGAGTCTTCCCGGAGGCAGCGGGTGTCGGGAAAGTGACATCTAAATTAAAGCCAGACAGCAGAGTTTATCCAAAAACAGGGAGGACGGGGAGGACAGAACTCTAGTGAGAGGGAACAGCATGTGAAAGGCAGACAGGCTCCATGCGTGCAGGGCATTCCATGGGCCAGACACAAGGATCCCTGGAACTGTGTGCCTCAGGCAGCCATGGATGTGTGTGTGTGTGTGTGTGTGTGCGTGTGTGTGTGGTTTTAAAAGGATGAGAAACACAAAGTGGAATATTAAGTAGCAGCCAGATCAGCAACGACTTTGAGTCCATTTTAAGGAGTCTTGATGACAACAGGGACAGAAATGATATAAACAGAGAAAGAGATTATGCTTTAGGAAGATTCCTCTGACTGACAACAGGGTAAAGAATGTGGTTGGAAGGGACCAAGCAGAGTCCAAGAGGTCAGTGAAAAATAAGACAGCACTTCTAGCACCAGTATTTGCAAACTGTGAAGGATGGGTTTAAGGTCCATTTAAAAGAATGAATGAAAAGACGTGGTTCCCGTGAAATCTCCCACACTCTGTTCCAAGATATCTTACTCATTTAACCATCGACTGTAATTAAAATAGTGATGACAGAAATGCTGTAAACGGATCAAAGTCAAGATACATGCCTTAGTATAAGTGAGACTTTCGGTTATCACAAAGGTGGTGAGCAGAGCTATGTAGAAAGACAATTAAGCTTTCACCACATCTAGCAAACTAAATGAGGGACAATTTTAAATGTATAAAATAAGATCAAGTAAATACTATTCCTAGGGAATTAACAAGCGAGGACAAGCAGATGATAAACTAACATAAATTAAAATTTTTTGCTCAGCAGACTGCCAAGGATTGACATGTTCATAATATCCATTGGCAGTAGATACAGGGGAGTAAGAATGCACATTTACTCCACGTGTGGGAGTATATGAAGTAGGTCTTTTCTGAAAGACAGTTTCACGGTATGAAACAAAATGTTTAGGCTGGACATTCTGTTTGACCTACATGCTCAATTCTTAGGAAGGTCACTTAAGGAAAGAACTGGACAGCTGCCCACATGCGTGTGTGTGTGTGTGTGTGTGTGTGATGGTAACAAATGCGACAACTGGAATAATATAGATATTAATGGCAACCAACATAGCCTGACAGAGACAATACAACACAATAGATGAGTTTAATGTGAAGATTCACGAGTATTTTAATCACTTGAGCCGATATTAACAAAATATTGATATGTGAATAACGACGGTTAGAGAATAATGAGAACAGTATTATTCTAGTATCTATATCTGAACATAGAACAGAGAAATTTATGTAGAACTATTAACAGAAGTTTTCTCCAGTGTTAGAATTATATTTGATTTCTTCTTACACATTTTTCTAAATGTTTCTTATCATGAATACATATTACTTTCATAACTAGGGAAAAAGTAGGAATTCCATTTTTCTTTAAAAGAAGTGCCAAGAATAACACTGACGTGGGATTAACAACTCCAGAGGACCCAGGGCGAAAGCCACTAGCTGTGTCATTCTCCAAGTCATTAACAAGTGCCACACACACATCCTGTCTTCTGAAGGCTCAAGGGAAAAAACTGATGGAGAAAAACTCCTTCTACCACTAAACCCCATGAAAAGAATGGAAATCCGTGTCAGGACAACCATCAGAGGTTCTGACTAAGTGACAGTATACTTTGCACTTCAGTTATAGGGATCATCTAGATGTTCACACCATACTCTCACACTCAGGCCTTGTATCAGTCCTCACCACTTACAAAACCATGTCAAACATTATAATGGGACAACTTAGAGTAGAAACATGGTTTTCTCCTGGGTAGAACTACCTTGCTCGCCTGAATCCTCATTTAACTCAACGTTTTTTCACTTGAAAAGCAGTAAGAGGCCCTTTCATGTATTCTAACTTTATATATCATGTAATACATATACTAATAATGTAAATGCTTTCACAATAAAGTCAATAACGATAATTCCACCTTACTTTTGCAAATATAGTTTCCCTATATTCTTGTGTACACTCACATAAAATCTTAAAATCATGGTACTTAGTATAGGAGCAGGCCACTTCATTACTGGTAGCACTACTGTTGCTATTATTCATGTAGATAAGAGAAATTACTATCAGCGAAGTTTATTTCTCCCATGTTTTCGAAGTCAATCAATCACAAATTCAGAATCATGGCCAGTTGGTTTCATGATTTTTTTCAAAATCCATAAATGACACTTTTTATGAGAAATTCTGAGATATTGGAGTGGATCAAGTTTATTTCTTTCCCATTAATGTGTGTAGAGTTTTTAAATTATGGAGCTCACATAGTTCAATCTCCTTATTTTATTGACAAGGAAATTAAAGTCCAGGGAGAGTCCGTGACTCTTCCTGTATCTCCAGTGTCACCAGCAGAGAGGAGACCAGGCACTGAGTCACTTGACCTCTACCTCAGGGTTCCCACTGTGGTACAGAGAGGCTCTGAGGACTGTACTAATTTACAATGTCTTCTCATTCGTTTAGCTCCCATCATAGTCATTTGAAATAGTGTTGTCACTGATTATTATTCTCATTTTGCAAAGAGGTAACTTTGGCTTGGAGAACTTAAGTAACCCCCTAACAGTTTCAGTCAAAAGGTCCAAGGCTTTCCACTCCAAAGCCAGAGGTTTGCCTCTTTGAAATTAATGCAGGGATTTGCTTTCTGCAATTGATATTTGAGTCAAAAGGGTCCAGTGCAGAAAATGTTTTAGAACAGTAACTATATAATTTTACAACAATTTTATAAGAAGATTCACAAGCTGCAAGACAATTTTTAGGGGGTGGATTTTAGAGCAAACATCCTCTCAAAGCATCACGTTTCTACAGATAATTAAAAACTGAACTCAGCGAATAATGCAAGCTTACCACTGTTTGGCTTAGCAAGACATTCAGGAGGGTTCTGCTGCAGGTTAACCTCTGTATCATTAATTTTGGGAAGCTCAGAGCTTACGTGAAAATCATCAATGTAAGCATCTAAGGCTTCAGAGGCAGAGAGGTACGGCTTTTCCTTATACTGGACGGAACCATCAGTGTGAAAGGAGATGCTGTCTGGGAGTGCAGCTGCTGGAGGACAAGATGCAGAAGACCTAACCTGACACTTCTCAACCGACTTTGCCATGGCCTTCTCAAAATGGGCTGCAATGTCCATGCATCTTTCAGAAACATCTAAACACAAAAAGTACACACAGCTTCAGTTAAACAGTCACAGATAATACACCCAGAGATTTCTTGCAGTGTAATTACCTTTTATAAGTAAAATGACTTTTCACTCTTTCTAAGCTTTATGCCTACTGGGATTTCAAGTAATGCCTGTTGATTGAGAAATAACTGGTTTCACTAGCGTGACTACAAGTGCAAGCTGTGCTGGAGAAATATATTAGGGAACTCAGAACATGAGACTTTCTAGGTGAAGTGTAAAAAAGAGATGTTTTCAGTTTTCCTTATTTAAATGAGTAGTCCTGGAATCTTGAGATATTCTTATTTGCTATGTTAAAACAAGGCAAGCACCCAGAATCACGTTCTGCGTTCTTCTCTGTTATGGTTTGTGTCTGGATGTCCCCTCAAAGCCTCATGCAGTCATGGGGTGGGCTTCTAGAGTTTTTGATTAACCCACAGTCCAGTGCCGGGATTATGGGTGTGAGTGCTAACCCGCTCTGGGGCGGGTAGTTTGCATACAATGTAAGGGAGGGAAAGAGCCTGCTCTCTGCTGCTTCTCCCACTTTGCTCTTCTTGCTTTTGCTGTTTTCTGCTGCCATGAACTGTTGCCCTCTGCCATGTGCCACTCTGTCTACGATCTTGAAAGGCTTGCCGCAGCTAACATGGGGGAAATCTCTGCCAAAGCTAGGTGGCTAAGTTCTATGGTCTCTGATTTCTCCAAAACGCTAGAGTACCAGTGATGTGTGAAGGGAGTGTCATTTCTATGATAGTCATGGAGAGGTAAGCGCCCAAGAGTAAGTACTCACTGCTAAAGTCTTGAAATTCACATGGACATGCTGTATTTTTCAGAATGTTACATTATATGACATCATAATACTTAAATTTTGCATCTACAGAATATTTTTGTTTCTTCTAATGTAACAGAGTTATATAGAGCCTTTTTGAGGGTTGGGAGAAAACTATGATTCACATTCCCACCAAAATGCACTGTCAGACAGATACAATAGATTCCAGGATTCTGGAAACTCACTCAGGGTTCCTTCGAACCCTAGATTAAAAACTTTTTTCTTTTTTTTCCTGTGCTGTGGTTGGAACCCAGGGTTTCACACACGCTAGGTAAGTACTAGATCATTGAGCTACACCCCCTAATCCCAAGAACTTGTGTTTTAATCAAGCAAAACCCACTTTCTTTGATTAAGATAGAAGAATGAAGTAAAGGAGAGAAGACTAGCTAGGGAAAAATGGTAAAAAGATCCTTCTTAGGGATGAAACAAACTCACTTGACAGCGCATATCTGTGTAGATAGATGATAAAATATCTTTTGACTTAAGGGCCCTGCTCCAAAAATGCTTTCTTTGTAAATCATGGCCATCTTTCTTCCTCTTCTCTGCATTTGTCAATAAGAATTGTGTATCATTACAGACAATGGGCTTTGAAACGAGGGAGGGAATGCAGTTTGAGTTAAGCTCAGTTCAGTCTTTAGCAGGGTGTGTCAATCTCTTCCATGACCCGTGATTTCTTCATTTTAAGTTCTGCTTAATACTTGGCTCCGAAGGTGGCTATGTCCATCTTTTACTGCTTTGCACTAGGAAAGCTGTTTCTGATGCACAGTTTCAAAATACATGGTAAAGGATTCTATCCTTCACGTCCTCCCCACTCCTGGCCACTCCTCCTTGTTATAAAGTCCCTGTCTACCTCTCCCAGAAGCCCTTAGATCTGCCCAGGATCTAATCACTTAGAAGGAACTACCTGGCTTTGCAGGCTCCTGCCCCAGGATATGGCCAAGGTCCATTCTGTCTGGTGCTGAAGTACGTGTGCTTGACTATCACCCCCAACAGGACATGGAGTGTGGTAAGTGTTGGTGTTTTTCCTTCTCTTGCAGTTGGTGTTTTGCCTCTCTCTGTTCTGAGTATTTATTAGGGTTTTACCTTGTGGACAGCTGGTTACATGTCTCCTCTCTATACTCAAACAACGCAAAGGAACAGATGCAAGTTTCAGCCCGTGGCAGTTGCTCGATAAACGTTTCTCAAACTGAATTTCATTCAAAGCATTCCTTTCACTTAAAGCACTCCAGTGTGACTACTGCAGTCATGAAAGTGGTTTGAAAGATCAAGTCTTTTGGGTTTATCAGTAGCTGCTGTAAGGTATTCACGTCAAGGACTCAATCAGAGGATGGCTGACTGCATGGACAGCAAGAACTTGATGAACCCCTGAGGTTTTTTTACCCACACTGATAATATTTTTGAGGTTCCCTTATGAGAAATCCTTAGCACTAGCCTGTCCAGTGTGTGCCCACATTTCGAAGTCCTGTGTTAGCTGGAGATTTAATGATGTTTCTGTGTCTCCCCAGTTACATAAGTAACACTGCAAGGAAAACTTGATAATTAAACATTGCTAAAACAATCTAGAAAATCAATGTGTAAGATATGTCAGTGATCCTGAAAATTGAGCACTATTTATAAACTCTGCTTTGCAACTTTCACTGTACCACATGTGGCAAAGTACAAATTCATTCTATTGGTTTTTGTACTGCACAAGCTCACAGAATACTAAAATATGAAGTGAATGGACATGGCTATAGCTTAGAAATGCAGTGTCATATGCAATAACTGAGACAGAAAAAAACAATCAATATACCTCCTAACTGTAAATCAAATAAAATGTGGGTTGTTTGGATATTTCCTCTTGCAATATCATGTTGGAAGTTGGTCTTGCTTGATTCTTTTTGATAGTCTTTTTAAAAATGTATCCAATCTATAAAGTCCTCAGGGTGCATCCACCTAGCAGAAGGCAACCTGGCTCCTGAAGAATAGAGAACAGTCCAAACAGAATGCCTAGAGGAAGCCATCAGCTGTGATACCTTATCAGCTTGGGCTAAATGCGACTCAGTCAAATTAGCTGAGTTCCTCCAGCCTGAGCAGACAGAAAGGACCAGATACATCTACAAATTGTGGCCTCCCTTTCCCATTCAATTCAATTAAACACTCCATGCTTGACTGGAAGAACCAGGCCAGGCATCAAAAAGGGAAACAGTAATGGACCGACAGTGCATCCCTCACAAGGAGCTTGTAGCTGAGAAGGAAAGACAAAAACAGTTTAAGATGAGTATGACCCAAGAAAGGCGTACCAAACACTATCTAGAGCCTCCAAGAGGGACAGGAACACAGAGAAAAGAAAAACCAGCTCTCTTTGATAGAACTGAGGAAAGGTTCATTTTAGACAGGGCATTTAAGTTAGACCTTGGAAAGGAGGGACATTTCAGACACATGGGCATGAAGAAAATGGATATGCCAACAAGGAACAACATAATCAATGATACTGAAGTAAAAAACCCTACGTCAGGTTTCATTAATTCATCCGTGCGTGAGCACGAGGCTGCAAATACTGTGTGAGGAATCAGAGAGGCAGCTTAGGGCCAGGCACCACACGTCTCACAGAGAAGGGAGACCGGGCCTCGGACACCTAGTGAGTGACAGGGCTGGGACTTAAAGCTTCCCAGCTCATTTTCGACTACAGCATCTACTCGCTGGCCATTTTGCCTCAGGTGAAGCAATACTCACCTCCTCCCTCCATGATACCTTTCCGTGTCACTCCAAATCCAAGTGAGGGCATCAACCTGACCTGCATACCTCTCAGAAATCCTGACCTCAATGTAAGCCATTGAGGGAACAATTCTTTAAAAAGTCTACCTGGGTCATCTGGCCAATGGGATGTCAAAGTCCATCTGTGCAGTGTGTTAGTCAGCTTTATATTACTACTATGAAAACACCTGAAATAATCAATTTTTAAAAATGAAAGGTTTGTTTGGGTGGACGGTTTTGGAAGTTTTAGCTGATGATCAATTGGCCCATTGCGTTCAGGGTTAGGGTGAGGCAGCGCATTACAGTGGGGAATGTGGTAGTGCAAACCTGCAAGATCACAGGAGAGAGGAAAAATCGGGTACCATCTTCCGATAGCACCTTGGGCGGAGATCAAGGCTTTAACACATGGGCCAGCCTTCTCAGGGACATTCACATCCAAACTGTAGTAGCCAGCTGTATCCTGAGTTACTCCAGGGCAATGAGAAACACCAGGAGAGATTTCTTAATCTTGTGGGCTCAGTCCAAGGAATTTAGTAAGCAAATAAAGCATATTTTATTGGGGAGATATTCTTGACTATTCCCTGTGACTCTGAACAAATTATGAGCCCTAAAAAAAAAATCAAGCCATGTGGTAAGCCTTGAAACAACGTATTGTGATACCTTTAGCTTTGCTCTTTTTGCACAAGATTGCTAGTTAGGGATCCTTCATGCTTCCATATGAATCTCAGGATTTTTTTCCAATCTTGATATTGTTAAGAATATCACTAATATTTTGATATGGACTGAATTGTATCTATAAGTTCAATATGCTTTGGGTAAAACAAGACATTTTAACAATATTGGTTCTTCTAGTCTGAGTAGGAAGGGATTCTGGGGGAAGAAGAGGAAAGGGTGAGGGGAGAAGGTTAGAGCAAAGCTGCACGGACCTGATCAGTGCATACATGATGCATGCATACATGATGCATATGTGGAAATCTCACAGTGAATCTCATTAATGTGCACAGAATGTGTTAATTACCATTAAAAATCAAGCTATGGACATGCTGTACTACAGAATTTGAATTTTTGTAGACACTGAGAGGCAATTTAAATTTTCTTCAATAGGAAGGACCTAGTGGATATAGTTGACACATTACATCAATCACCAGACAGTACTGTAAGTGACAACTTCTTTGAAAGACAACTTACACATACTAGCCACTATTTTTAATCATTTAGAGTTTAGTTCACAAGTTGATCTTACTTATTGAGAATGAAGGGTAAGAAAAGACCAACGTTTTGAAACATATAGAACATTACAGATCAAAGATCCTCTCTTGAGATTTTGTGTGAGTAATGCGATCCACATATGCAATAAGCACGTAGCTTGGGGTGTGTAATACTTAGATCACAAACTGTTATAACATCGCATAACATTCGCACCAGCAAATCAACTAGTAAAATTATATGCTGGAGAACTGAAGTCTTCCCTCAAACTATTTCTTCTCAGTTACTCAGGGAATCTTTATTGTCACTGCAGAATGGTAACACACAGCAAAGGTCAGGAGACTGGCTGATACCCTACTGAATAGGTTCAGATCCAGCAACTTGGCATTGGGCAAACTATTTAACTTCTCTGTACTTAAATCTCCTCATTTCTAGGGTGGACACAGTACTAACACTCAATTTGTAGCACTATTTTAAGGATTAAAAGGATTAGTATGGGTAAAATACTATACTTAGAACATTGCTTAACATATATGGGAAGCACTCAGTAACTACAGTTAGTGTTAGGTGTGAGGCCCTCTTACTAAGACATTCATTCCTGATAGGTCTCTTTTCTTTTTTTTGAGGTACTGGGGACTGAACTCAGGATCTTGTGCTTGCCAGGCAGGCGCTTATGCCACTGAGCTATAGCCCCAGCCCAAGACATTCATTTCTAATTCCGTATATACTTCTTGGATTTAGTGGATTTCGCCCTGCCTCGTCAACAGGTGGTATTGCGACTTTGGGATATGAAGCACAAAAACAGAGAGAGAGAAAGAAAAGAAACTTAGAATTTCATTCAATATATATATTAATCTTCTTAAAATCTCATTCCATAGACGAGAGGATTATCTTAAAGCAGGATCAATACTCGGTTCATTTCATATCCTAGAATTTTTTTTTGTAAAACCCATGAAAGCCTAAGGCTCAAGGAGAGGCATCAGCAAAATTTAAATTATTTCACGAATCTTAAGTGTTAAGAGCTATTGTGTTCTGCTCTAGGGAATGCTTTTATCCTTAAGTCATTTAGCTTCCCCCTCAACATCTTCAATTTCTCTTTATTTCCAAATCAGAATACTCGCAATTATTTTTTCAACATGGATGCGAGCACTTCAACAGAAATAGCCGGCAAACACTTTGAAAGATTTTATTCACTCTAACACACCATGACTAGTTGTGGAAAAGAGCAAACAAGCACATTAAGATTCTGTCTGTAGGTTTATAATCACTCCCTGGCAGGCACACTGGCAACGTGTTAAATAGAATTTTACAATATTAGGTAATGAGAGAAAAAACCCTTTGCTTGGTGGTATAAATCTCTAGGGACATTATTTTAAGGAGGAGGGAGAAGAGCCTTTTCCATTCTCTCTAACCTTAACATTCATATCTTCTGAATATGCCTTTTCACTAAGGGAGAAGAGCCTTTTCCATTCTCTCTAACCTTAACATTCATCACTTCTGAATATGTCTTTTCACTAAGGAAAAATATTACAATCAGCAAAGAAGCACAAGGGCCGCTCAGACCTGTTTCCTATTGTAATGCACTCCACATTCTAAGAGTTTCAACAAAGGTTGTATCATCTGGAAATTATTGAGTAAAGTTTAAATACTCAGAATCAAAGAAAGTCTTGAATAGTATGTTTCACTTAATGAAAGAAAGTATGTCACCTTTGGGGAAAAGTGAATCTTTTTAACAAAAATCAAATGACATAAAATAAGCACATTTTTTCTCTGGAAAATTCCATAGTGGGAGCTATTGGGGAAACAAGGAGATATAGGAAAGATAATGCTTTGCTGTCATGGAGATTCTAATAAAGTGGGAGAGAGAAGGGAAGACAAAATGTGTGAGAGTTAGCAGTCAGCACTAGGCAGGTAGTGCTATGTCGCCAATGGGCAGAACCAATAATATGTAAATAAATAGTTATCAAAACGTGGAGGTTGCTGAGTAGGTACGGAAAAGTATCTCAGGGACGAGTTAATGTCCTTGCCCACTCTGTGCTTTCCCGTCTGTGCCCAGACGGGATTTCTTGATTTGAATAACAAGAAGTCACAATTTGTCATAGTTAAATCTTGGAAACAACCCAAATGCCCATCCACCGAGGAATGGATAAAAACGATGAGGTATTTTTATTCATACAATGACATACTACTCAGTTGTAAAGAAAGATAGACTCGAGGCTTTTATAGGTAAATGGATGCAACTAGAGGCCATACTCATAAGTGAAATAAATCAGGCCCACATGTGTAAACATCCTATTGTCTCCCTAGTGTAAGAAACTGAAAGAGTAAATGAGATCCTAAAGGTACAATAAATACTATGAATGGGAAAGAAACTGCTCAAAAGGAAAGAACAACTGGGATGAGGGAATGAGAAAAGAAAGAAAGAAGGAAGGGAAAAAATATATAGATATACACAATGTAGCTAAGATAACTGTACTACTAATTTCTATTAGTTCACTGAAGGGAACAGTTAGTGCTTATGATGTTTGCTCAATTTTGCAGGCCTGTATCTGATGATCTGAGCAGCTACTTTGAAGACAACAACATGCAACACAACAACCATTGTTAATTTGCTACTATTTTGTTTTGAAATTCTGTGTCTTTTCTTAAAATTCTCTTAAAAAAAAAAAAGAAGTCTAGCTTTTTCACTGGACCCTGACGGAGGCGCTCCATCCCATGACTCTTATTTAAGGCTTTCCTTGGGGCCTTTGTGTGCCCTGAATTTATATAACGGGAAGGCCTACGTGAGTATTACAAACCAGACCAAGGATTTGCATCTCCAGTTTGTCTCATGTATAAAATACAAATGCCAATTACTTTCCTTAATATTACTGAAAAGATTTCAGAGATAAAGAAGACCACTGGTTGTCTGGGGTAAATTCTGTAGTGATCACAGCTACACTGCGCCAGCTAAGTTTTGACTGGCTAGAGTGTGACGGTTTTGCCTTACTTGGGAACAACTGAAAGCTTGAATTCCTCGGGACTGCTTTCTGGACCTCAGGCTCTGGTTTCACTGAGTTTCTCTATGTAAAAGAAAATTTTAAAGATCTCTTTCCCACAAGTATTCGTATGCAATCAGTCTGATTCCTTCCTCCCGAAAAGTTATGATCTATTTGCTTTTGGGAGAAACAACTAACTACAGCAGGTCTCTTTATATTCCTTGTGTGCCTCTGAAGCGGTACAGCTCATGTTTTTGCAGAACAATTAGCAATTTTGTATTAGTTAAACCTACTCTTTGAAATTATTACCTAGAGTGAGAACTAACTTGGAAAATATAAGGAGTAAACAATCTAACACCCCTAGATTAGCAATTCTCCGTTTACGAATTTGGTAGGGTAGACTATGAGCTTCATTCGAATATTGCCTTTGCTGTAGTTTTTTTTTTTTTTTTTTTTAACAGTGCCTAAATTTAGCAGGTCAGCATTTATGCCACTGTGAAAAAACATCAAACTCAAGGAACTGTTGATATGTACTGGACTAGGAACAAACTATTTGCTATAAGAAAATGCAAGATCCACCCTAAACCCTATTCAAGAGAATTGTCCATCGGAACTACCAATGCATGTCCAGCAGATAGACACTTGTGATAAGGATTACAATGGGAGTGCACACAGAACTCCAGCTGCTCACGCTACACATACAGCAGGAAGTAAAATTACAGGGCTTATGGCTAGAGTAGTTGCAGAGGCCATGGGTCAATCTGCACCATTAGACAAAACAGAAAAGAAAAAGAAAATTAAAAGGAGATTGCCAATCTTAAAATAAGACATCTTTTTGGACTACACTTTGAAATGAAATGTCACCAAAAGGTGGAGATTCAAGGGTCTCAGGACCAGGCAAGGCTGTAGTAAGGTGATGGTCATGGCCTCAGAAAAGACAAGGACTAACAGCCCTTCACACGCAGAAGTCAGAGGACAAAGAACCACTGCATGAACCAGGCCAGGACAGGACATCTCTGCTACTAAGCAGGGGCTGAACTGCTGAGATGCCTGCCCAGGACTGTGAACCCTGATTGACTGGGGTGGAGGGAACGGACAGAACTACCAACACCAAACACAGGTACGGGATTTAAACTGTCAGACAAAGAGAGACATCCCTGCTAGCCAAAAGACAACAGATTTCTCAGTCACTGGCCCTCAAGGGCCAGAGCAGACCATTACAAAAAAGTTGGACAAGGAGAAGTGACCTTAAGGAAAGGAAAAACAAATAAAAAATCAACACAGAAACCAAAACAAATCTATTCAAGATGAACTTGCAAACAAAAGCATCGTCAACACCATGGTGCAAACAATCAGTCCAGTAGTGTTATTAGGAAAGCTAACGCACATAGATCCTAGGTTTAAGTTGGAACTTGCACTGGATTTGTGCAAGGCAGTCTGGGAAAGGTTGAAAAGGAAGGTTTATTCTGTAACGGCGAAAGACAAGCAACATCCGCAAATCAAGGAAGCTGAAAGTGGAATGGCGCTAAGGCGGGGCCAACTGTGGCCGTGCTCGCGTGCTGGGGAGAGAAGGTTCGCGTGCCTTGTGAACAGTGAGGGCAGAACAGAGGAGTCGGGGAGGGCTGGCACAGCACAAGGTGGAGGACAGGAGGGATGTGGAGGTCTCTGTATTTTTTTTTTTTTTTTAAGGTACCAGGAATCAAACTTAGACTTCCTGCTTATCAGGCAGATGCGATTCTGCTGAGCTATATCCCTGGCCCGGTCTTCGTATATTTTGGGAGGTGAAAGTGCATTGGCTCTAAACATGGTGCAGCGCACACTATCAGGTTACAATTGGGATGGAAACAGATGTTTTCAAGGTAAATTCATGGTATGTGGTTTAAGGTGCAAAAGGTTGAAATTGTCAAAGTTGTATCAGATTTTTTTTTTTAATTTTAAAGAGAGTAGTACATGAGAAAAAAACCCCCCAAAATAGAACAGTAGCAGCATACCAGTATCACAAACATAAACAAATCAAAGCAAGAACATTCAAAGTGTGTATCAGATATTTCTAAAGCAACAAAATGTTTATTTTACCTATCCCTTCCTGTTCCACCACCAGCAACCACTCTCCTTATCTGTGTGTTGTTACCATTTTCTGCATGGTTTTATACTCTTCATCCACTTGGATGTCCCTGTAATATGCAATATTTTTTGTGTTTTAAAAGTTCATATAAAAATAAAAAATTCATATAAACTCATTTTTGCATATTTATTTCATTGTAAAAATATTTTAAGAGCTGTTTTAGCTTCATAACAAAATTAAGAGCAAGATATAGAAATTTTCTGTGCACTTCATGCCCCTAAACAATTCTCTTCAATAGGGTTTAGGGTGGATCTTCCATTTTCTTATAGCAAATAGTTTGCTCCTAGTCCAGTACACGCCCCTACTATCAATGCCCCCACTGATGAGCCAACATCATTATGACCCAAGTTCCACAGTGGACATTAGATCTCATTCTTGGTGTTGTATGTTGGAGTTTGAACATACACATGGTGACATATACATATTTTTGCAATGTTCTTTTTTTCTCACTAACATGGCTTGAATGTGTTTTCATGTTGATACAAGGAGAGCTAATTTTCTTATTAAATTGTATTTGAAGAAAAGTAGACATCCTGAGTTAGGAGAAACATTGGAACTGTAAGTATTGACTCGAAGCCTACAAACACAGAGGGAAGAAGTGAACTGTGAATATAGATGTGCTCTCCAGGCTTGGTTCAGGCTTCCAGGAGACTCTGAATTCTTCAAGACCAATGACCTTGTATTACTTATCTCTGAAAGCCCTGTAGCAGCACTTTCATGAAGAGATAATAAATGTTTGTTGAATGAATGAATAAACAACTTTTTCCTTCTGTAAATATGTACCATAGCTTAGAAACTGGCAACAGAAGAAAAATTTTGAGCTCTGAGCAAATTTTATTACCCCATCAAGTTTTTTTTAGGGGGGAGGATATATTGGCTATGCTAAAGCTGGGAGATTTGCCATTTAAGATAAGATGTCTAAGTTTCATTATGAAATCTAGGTATCTGACCATGCCTGGCTCAGTTTTCAGCCTGGCCACGGTCAAGGTGAGCACCCGTGTCACCTCTGAACAGGCTGTGTTGTTCCAGCCTGTCGTGGAACTTCATATTTTGGCCAAGAACAACTGTCGGTTACTGCAAACTATTACTGACACTGCTTTTTGAAAGTGATAGGACACATGTCCTTGTATCCCAACTTGTACGAAAGAGAGGAAAAATAAAGACGGACTGACAGGGCTTACTATTTTATGAAAAACCAGCAAAAATGAATTTCTTTGTGAAAGTGAAGGCTGTATCCTTCGGTGTTTATGATTAGCGAGTCTACCTAAGATGGTCTACCTCATGGGGAAGGGATTCTTTTTTTATTAAATAGGTATTAAATGTCTGGTTTCTGTAAGCATTTCTGTTTGCAAGCCAACCTCTTCCTCTCAGATACTTTTAGGAATGCAATATGAAATGAACTTCAAAAAAGGGAACTTCCAGATTTTTTAGAATTCAGTCACATACAGTTTTCATCCCAATAGAAAACCCTCTCTAAACTCTTGGAAATCTTCCTCACCTGTATTCTCTAAGATGGGCCAACTCAAAAGAACGAGACATGACTTTGGTAAAACTGGTTAGCAATGCACACAATAGCTTTAAACACTGAAACTAGTTTGATTTAGGAAGGGAGAAAAAAAAGATGGTGGTTTATTTCAACTTCAGCACTGCTAGGGAATTGACCAAAGATTAGATTTGCCTCACCAAATTGTCACCATTAACTTATGCATCCAGCTGTTTCAATAATAGTTTCTCAGTCAAAGTTTTATCACCAGCCAGCGTCCTGCGAAGAGGAAGATGATGAGGAATAGCTATCAGGATACACTGCGATCTCTACGCCACGCAGACTTTGGAGGGTCCCCATGTGCAGCGAAGCAGCTGCTGCCTTTTGAGGGAAGGGAGCAGCTTTGGTGGCCAGTCCTTACACCGTGACAGAACGGAAAGTCAGAAAATGCAGCGGGGCCCCGCTGGCTTTGTGTGTCTAAGGGGGCCTCTTGTGCCCAAAGTAGTTTTCCACTCAAGCTTTACTCCAAGATTCTGTTTCAATCACACAGGCCCTTTTCAGTGTTGCACATTAATAAAAGATTGTTTCTATGAAAAAATGGTTTTTGATGAGAAAGTAATGTTTACTAGGCTTAAAAGTAGGCTACACGTGAGCTTTATTGGAAAAGCAGATTATAAAAGCTATACTATCCTTTATCCCATGTTCATGAGTTTAGATGATTTAGCTCCAGCTGCAGGGGGCTTCTTTTTCACTATCTTTCCAAGATTTTTTTCCATATCCCACAGGTACCAAAATGCCATGAAAATGAATAAAATCCTCCTAGATGGGTGAGAGAAAGACAGCACAGAAAGCACTGGAGGAATAATGCCTTTGGAGAGCTCAAGTGACTCTGTTTTAAGTGATTTTAAAGTTTATTTTGAATGTCTAGAGATCATTTGCTTTAGGAATTCTACTTGGATAATGTAGAACATGAATTATTTTAAATTTCATTATAG